ATGTACTCATTAGCGAAATCAACTTGTAAACAGCCATGAGAATCCTCAATAGATCCCCCACTCGCCACCGCGACAACAGGAAGCTGCAGTTAAACGTTTTGACAAAATGTTACAAAGTTTAGTGCAAAATAAGTGTTTTCATATCCTAAAGCTCACTGGAGTTTCGTCAGCCTCCCAATCAGGAACTCTATCGTAGGGTACCACCTCCCGACGGAATGTGATGCATCCAGTTGGCATCTTCTTTAGCACAAGGGAGAAATAGTTGAGAATGAATCGTAACTTCACATGTGAGAGAGGATTGGCACCGTGAAAAATGCTAAACATCAAGTAATCAATAAGTTCCTCCACTAGATTAAAAGTATCTTCAATAATATAAAGGCGAAAAACTCACTTAGCAAAGTTCATCCTATTGAAATTACGTCGTTCTCGTCGGAAAGTACAATAAAATGCGTGGGCGAGAAGGCATGCACATTGCTCTTGACTTAGAGTAACCGATCCAGGACGATTCGCAGTGAGTAGAGGTATCGGCTGAACTACTTCTTCTTAAAGGGTAAGCATGAATCTAGGGTTAGAAGAAACGTTGCGATCACCCTTACATGACTGAGTATATCCCAAGTAATAAGGTTAGAAAAAAAGGTGGGGATAGGTTTTTGACTGAGTATCTTGACAAATCCCTTCGAAAAGGACCATTTACAGTCTGTTCCCCCAAGCCTGACCAGCGCGTGTGTTTTGTACGCACGGCGCAAACACACGCTTCATGCCGACTGCCCGTGCCGTCACGTTACTTGACAATTTGCTCTTATTATCTTCCTTGTAGATTTTCTCTATACTTGTGTTTTTCCACCAAGCCGTGATAGCAGAGGAAGAGATAGTCTCCAGATAGCAAAACGAGAGAGGTTATTTTTGCGCAGCAGCGGATAAAGCACCCGCCAGTCAAGCTCAGGAGAGCAAAACTTCTAAGTATACGAAAGATAATGGAAATCTTCACAATCAGACCTTGCTGTGCTTGTTGAGGTTCCGTCACCCATGTTTCAACAATGTTCATTCTTAAGCTTTTGAAAATTTAGACGGATAGAAACATGAAAAGCATTGAAAAATGGAGTCTATGAACTCACCGCTGTGATAATGAATTTCGCATTCACAGCTAGCTTGGCGATACCGGCCATGATATCGAGCGCTTCACGTTCTTCCGACATCGTTAAGCCATCCATGAATCCAATAAGCCCGTCAAATGACCTGATCCATGGAGCACATTCTTTCAAAGTAACCTGTAACACTCGTATTTATTTATGCGCAGATTACTTGAAGGCAGCGTGGCAGAACTAGGGATTTTGAGTTATC